TTTTCCGCCACCACGATCAGACCCCCAGGTCTCCCAAGGCGTCCATGTCACCATCGGAGACCTCCTGGGGGTCCCCCGCCAGCGCCGATCACCACCTTCAGGCTTTCCCGGGGGATAGACTGGGCCTACCAAGGGAGGGCTTTACCTCGCACTTTTCCACCACCACGATCAGACCCCCAGGTCTCCCGGGGCTTTCCCGCCTCCAGAGACCTCCTGACGGTCCCCCACCACCGCGATCGGCGCCTTTGGAGGTCTCCGAAGGACTCCTGGGGGTCTGATCACGGTGGTGTGTTGTTGTTTTTGTATTTGTGTGTGTGTGTATGTGTGTGTGTGTGTGTGTGTGTGTGTATGTGTGTGTGTGTGTGTGTGTGTGTGTTTTGCAGTCCCAGCCTGGAACTTGCTCTTTTGTATTTTTATTTTTGGTATTTTTTTGAAATGCTGGAACGGATTAATCCCGTTCCCATGCATTTCAATGGGAAATGGTGCTTCGACTTACGAACATTTGGACTTACATACACCATTCCAATATGGATTAAGTTCACAAGTCGAGGTACCACTGTAGTTGCCTCGTTGCTGATTTTGCCAAAAACTATAGCTTTGCAATCTGGGCAGCAAAATTGATTGTGCTCCTCAGTAGGGCTTTGATCCAGTAGGTCTGGGGTTGTCACACTGATTTTGTCAAAAACTATAGCTTTGCAATCTGGGCTGCAAAACTGATTGTGCTCCTCAGTAGGGCTTTGGAACAAGGTTAAAAGTCTACTGCACTTAGGCATATGGAGAATTAACACAATTACAAGGTCAATGAACATCATGAATTATGGCTGTACACTAACTACAGTGCACATGCATAACCGATCAGCAGAGTACTGAGATTGTGCCATGGACTGCAAGTATTTCCTAGCCACAAACTGGTTTCCAGTTCTAAGAGAGCAGCAGCTGTGTATTCCAGGTAAGAGGCTCAATCACACTTATCACCCACTCAGAACTTCAATGACTTGAAAACATACCTTTCTGCCTAAAATGTTAAAGGATAAAAATAAGAGCATTTGTTTAATTCAGAATATGAAGAAAATAGACACCTAGTGATCTATACCACAGCAGAGTAAGATGTAAATTCTCCACCAAACTCTATAAAACTCCCTTTTGCAAGTAAGCATCTCCACCAATACCAAAACAGTTTCCAAACCCTTTTGTAATTTTGTTGTTGCATAAATGGCTAAAAGAAACAATAAGAATACAACATACACGATTTGCCATAATAAAAATGGGAATATTTATTATTATTATTTTTCCTACTAAAAGCAATAAACTCTTAAGCTTCTCTGGTCTTTGTAAATGATTCTATCATTTTGTTTTTACTTCCAGCTCTGTAGAAAATTTAGACACAATTCCATATAAACAAGAACACAGAGCAAGCCACTGAAAGACTCAAGAGACCAAGACAGCTTGTGGTGATAAGCAGACAGATGAACTTATTCATAACAATAAGTCAAACCATATTCATGTAATTATATCCCCAAGACTTCACTGGGAGGCAAGGTATTTAAATATGTTCATTATAGTAAAAAGATGTACATTACTTGCACACATCTGGGTCTATACAAATTGAAGTGGCATTTTCTGATTAAATATGAAGAATCAGTCAGATATCACTGTTCAATACTGGAATTTGACAAAAACTCTAAAAACCATTACTGAGTGCTAGTACATGCACATGATGCAGGGCAAAAGGAAGGATTTGTAGACCCCGTGCAAATGAGACAGGACAAACTGTTACAAATTGGCAAACGTGCGCTGGACAAATTCAAACTTCACAGGATGTCTTGCAGAGTTACTTTGATGCAGAAAAACATTTCCCCTTTCAAGCAACAAAGAATCCCTCAAAAAGAAAAGGGCATCAGTCTTCATTTGGCCTCTTGAACCTTCTTTGCATTCTGCTTTTCTTTTGCCTGGAAGATAAAGGCAGACAGAGATAACATATTGCACTGTTGTAATAACAGCTTCCCTGGTAATTCAAAATATATCGTTTTCTATATGAAAAATATACCAAAGAGAGAGAGAGGTCTGTGGTTTACAGTAACAATGAACAGAACTTCTTGGAATATTTAATTCACAATGATTATATCAGTCTGCTATACCATCCCAGAATATCTTTGAGCCACCTGAGCATGCTGATGATCCATAAAAAAACTTCCTACTTCAGTACAAGAGATTGTACTGAAGAAGCCTCTCTGCAAACAACTTGTCTCTTTCCATTCATGGGTGAAATGTAGATTCAGCAGAGGTTAAATACTAATTGAATTGAGTGAACTGAAGAACAGAACTTGGGACCATACTCCTTGTCCCTTTTCATCTGAATACTAGAGGTAAGACAATATGGTAAGACCCCTTTGTGTTGGCGTCCCAACACAAAAACTTTCGTGATAAAACATCTGCTTTTAATACCAGCAGAAAACCTTTATTTCTCTAGGAGTTTCAGATCTTGGCTTTCATGCAGCTCATTTTTTTAAAAAAAGTTCTATTCATTGTTAGTCTAAAGCACTGGTTCTTAACCTTGGGTTACTCAGGAGCTTTGGACTGCAACTCCCAGAAGCCTTCACCACCAACTGTGCTGGCTGGGGTTTCTGGGAGTTGCAGTTCAAAAACATCCGAGTAACAAATGTTAAGAACCACTGGTCTAAATCACTCACATACTGGTGCAATAATCATTATTAAACTTTTGCCTCAGTATGATTTGCAGCAGACATTCCCCTCACTTGCAGAAGGGAAATTTCTAGTTACCTAGGCAAATTCAAATCATGGTGACAAAATGATTTACTGAAGAATTAGAATGTAAACATTTCCAGAGATTTACACTTCTAGTGCATGCATGCTCCCTCTGTGTTTGGCATGTATAAAGAACAATTTTGAAATATGGTGGGAAATTTTGAAAAGTAGCTATAACCTTCATGTTGTCCTCTGTGTGTTCTAGATTATTGTATTATTATATTTGGTATAGTGGAAAGTGGCCTTCCATTTGATTAAAGAGCTATTTAAGTCTGTCATCATGCAGATTGTCAGGCTTGGTAACAAACTAGTACCAGCTAGCAATTGCTGTAGGTAAGGAATTAAACCATGAAGACTGAAGTCAAATCATGACTAAATTTGACCAATTTCTATGGACCTACTCTACATACTGATATGTGGATCCAAACCATACAGATCACTAGGATTTAGCTTCAAGTAGATGTGTACACATATGTATCTATATATATTATGTATGTATACAGATATATACATAGACAACAAAAATCAAAGCTCCAAATATGTCTATGGACGTATACGTACATGCTGAAACTCTAAAATTATTATTGTAGTTTATTCCAAACTGAAGGCCCTGATGTTACCTACTATTGTCAATCTGAATTAGTACTTTGACTTACATTGATCTTGTGAGCATTAGGATGCTGCATTTTATATCTAGAGCACGTGGGAAAGACATGTGCAAGGCAATTTCAGGACAATTCAAATCAGGTCAGCTCAAGCACCGAACAGTTTAACAGCCTTCTGGGAGAGGCTGAGCACGTTACTTTCACTAAACGTGTCTGGAATCAAGCCATATCAGCCAATCAATGTCTCAACTGGAACTAGAGCACTGAGGAAACAGCAAAACACTAGCAAGTCAATATAATCAGCAAAAATCCGACAGAAGTGGAAATCTATTAAACACTGTGTGCTGAAGGAATATATCCATGCTGTGAATTTGCCATCTAGTGTTCCCAGTGACACACAGATTGATGTCCTTACAGAGAAGTTCAGATATTCATCTCTTTCATTCAAAACAGGAAACAGCCTACTTTGATTTATGACTTCACCATTTCTCGCTAATATTCAACAAAATAATCCAAATAACAGCCCACAACATACCTTTTCTACAAGTGGGATTAACTGTTGGTGCTCTGCTAAAGTCTTTAGCAATTCCATTATGAACGGCAGGTAATTATGTTTCCTTCTAATGTTTTCAATCTGCAAGCACAGAGCACACATTAAATGAATTACCATTAGATTCTGTTATCCCACATAACACCAAGTATTCAGCTTCTTACATGAGCAAGAGCACTGGATAAAGTCTGCAAAGTAAACATTGGAAGAAAAGCACTACCTCTTTTGTGCTAACCCCTAAAACTGATTTTTCAGGACGTGAAGGGAGTAGAAACAAAGTTATGGTTACAAAATGTAACACAATGCATGGTTCCCATTCACCTTGCCTTTTTAAATCCCTCTGGGCCAGCGAGTAAAACATTTTAACTGAGTAGAACCTTTATTCACTTGTTCTCTAATCCAGGATCATGAACACAGCTAGAGGGGAACAACTAGACCTCCCTTCTCCCTCAATGCTCTGCTGACACAAGCAGCAAAGAATCTGAAGGGATGAGGATTCCATTCATGTGTAGAGCTTACAGACATGCAGGAATCCTTCCTCTTTAGGTTCAGCACTGTTCACATGAGCAGCCTGACAAATGGGTGATAGCTTAAGTGCCCTATTCTAACTGTGCTGACGATCCAATATTAGAGAATTAGTAAATAAGGCTAGAGTCGCACCTCTGATCTGTTCAGGTATATGTAGTACTTGCAAGATGTTAGGACCTAGATTGGCAGCATACTGAATCAATGACTGTACATGAGCAATCTAGCCATGTAGCTCAGGCTATTAGACTTCTAGCCTAATGTGATCAAGAACACACAGGCTACTTATGGAAACTATACATTTTAAGAATCTAGCCTAATGTGATCAAGAACACACAGGTTACTTATGGAAACATTTTAAGAGGCAAGATGAATATTTCTACAGTTCCCTACTAGGCACATGTATTTCTTTCTGTTTCAGTTTTAAGTCCTAGAATTTTCCATTCTTGGAAGTCTACCTGTCAGACAAACACTTAAATGATGCTCAACTGGAAGAATTCACAGGCTAGTTTGCTGCAGGAAAGAAAGCAGCCACCAGCAGTTCCTGGAATCTCCTAGCAACCAACAGGGCAACTTCCTTTTCTAATAGCAAACTAGGTCCAAGCTCCACCTACCATGGCCCATGATGCCTTCCACCTTCTTCCAGGTGAGCACAATCTGTCTGGCAGAACCAGAATGGAGAATTCTAGGATTGAGAGTCCTAATAAAAATGGATGCATGTATCTATTCCCTACCTCTCTGGATTCTGTAGCTGCTTTCTTTCTTTACAAAGGTCAGTATCCTGTTCATACAGCATAAGCAGAGTACTGCACTGCATCCACACTGATTTATGATCGCTGACTTGCCAATGTGAAGGGTAGAGATGGCCCAGTTCCAGCAAACTGGACTTATATTTGCACAAAGCAGTCCTGGGGACCACCCTGAACAAAAGCTGAAAAAGACCAATGTTTTGAGTGAAAGACTACTGCATAAATGATGAGAAGGAATTGGATCCTGCTCCAAGTCACTAATAAAACTGTGTAGCCATTTATGTTGCCAAAGAAAGCAGACAGGCAACAACTTCAGTGGGTATATCTTGATATGCAATTAAGTTTATCTGCTGTTGGTATGTGACTAACAGTATTGTTCTTAGTGCAGAAGTAGAAATGCATCCATGGAGTGTCAAAATATGATCACAGCAGAAAACAAAAAGCATACATTAAAACCTCTGCCTTACTGAAATCTTGAGTTCAACCAAGAGGAAAACCAGGATTTACAGATGGGTTCTGTTAAAATAAAGAACTTTAAAATTCTGAAAGAAATCAAAGCTATTCCAGCAAAAAAGAGCTTACTTTTGGATCACAGTCTTATATGAAGAACAATTTCATATTACAATCCAGTGTACCCTGGGTGCAAGGTTCCATTAAACTCTAGGGAAGTTGTTTTCCAGTGAAATCAAGAGAAATTACAAAACTGTGATAGGAAGGCCATAGCCACATGCCACCAACTTCAGACGATCGTCTTTAACAACCTAACATAATCGTTATCAATGTCCATGTTGGTACATGGAAGCAATAACCTCTAACAGATGGAATCCCATTGGTGTTCATGGCAGGTTTGCATAACTTGTTGCAGATGTCAGATAAGACACCAGAGTACAGCTTAGCTGTGTGCTTGTTTATGCACCCAACTACACAAATGAGATGTAGCCTGGTCCCTTACTGATGAGCCATGAGATATTATGCAAAACATATGCAAACATCAATAAAATGTCACCTAATAATTTATAACTTTGGATGTCAGAATAAGCTATATAAACAAATTAGATACTTAAGCCAGGGAAATGCAACATTCTTTGCAAAACAATGCTGATAAAGTGACTATTCATTCTCATCATTTATTCTTTTTAGGCAAAAGCATCTAGTCCTTATGGTTGTACAGCTAAATTTTAAAGTGCTCCATTCAGTAAACTGAAAAATTAAATACTGTCCTAAAGATTATGTTTCAAATATTTCTTTGAGCTCATATCACAATTTTCCAAGTTCTTAATGCAAATAGACAACCAACTAAAGTTTTTTTGTGGCTACAAATATCTGCAACTTGGATGGTTGTGGTCTGGAGAAAAAGGACTCCAGGATGTCCACTGTGCTGAGCAACATAATACCTTGCAACTTTACTAATATAGCTGAATACCTCTTCTTTCAGAGCAGGAGTGTGCATCTATAAGTCCATATTGCAAGATCAGTTGTAACAAGTATGATTTGAAGTAACTAGGTCAGCAGGCAGCTGCCTAGCAAATAACTGCTGAAGTGAAACCTCTGCATGAGCAATGTTAAATTGATGGCCAAGGTCAATCCAAATCACCAAGGGCTGTCCATAGACAACTGCAAGTTACAATGTTATTGTTAAGAGAATAACTCCTGTGTGAGTTTAAGTGTTCCAAAATGTGTACATTAGCATTTAACTGGCTGCATGAACACCTGCAACCAGTTTGTGTAGCAAGCTATATTGGTCCCACAGATCAGAGACCACAAAGCAGAGCAGATACCTTTCCTATAGTGTGTGCGTGTGTGGGTAGAATATGGAAGCCAACTGAAACACAAGGAATGTTATAATAGGAACCAAATGAATCAGGATTACAAGCCATCTGACCTTGACGGAGGGATCAGGTTGCACAGCCCCCTAGAATTAAGGTAGAAAAGAAATTTCAACAAATCATGGGGGTGGCGGGAGTAAAACCAGCCATGAAATATAAAGAACTCAAGACTGCAAGGCTATTTTCCATTTTCAGTATCACTAGGCTTGACAGGTCCTTTCTAAGGCAGAATACACTTCATACAGACTAATGTTAAATCATTTGGTAAAGAGAACTGGAGGTAAATTTATAAAAGGTCAATTCGGGTTGAATACTATGGAACTGAACAGTGATCCAAGACTTTGGAGTCACCTTCCTTCTAACCCCATCATACTTTCAAGACAGTCAACTCTACTAGCTCAATATCAATCAAGGCAAGGAATATCAGACTGTAACACTTAATCTTTCTTTTATATCTGAAAACTGTGTAAAAGAATCTCAAACCTGCCTTGAAACACAGGAAATAATATGATTTATTTTTATTAACAGGGTTATGATTCCAGTTTTCCAGAACCCATGTTTTCCTTTTCTGATGTTACCAGACGTTTCCAGACTGTGCTTTGAGGAACCCTGGAGTTCAGGAGCTCCTCAGTGTGGAGGTTAGGTGCAATGGTAAGCTTTATCTTCTTGCTCATCACTACTAGTATGCTCCTGAAATGCAGACACAGAATATGCCAGATGTTGGACAAGCTTGTGGCCCAACAATGTAAGGCCAATAGTCCCTGCAAACTGGCTATGCTCAAGATCTTCTGAGACTCTCAAACAAAATGTCCAAATTTTGCTTTTGCAAAAAGAAGCATAAAACTTCTCCAGGCAAAGCAGAGCTTTCTGTACATTATCAGTGATCCACTGTTTTAAGAGGCAGCTAGATCTTCCTCGTACTAATCTTAACATAGTTTAAGATTAGTTTTGCTCCCCACACCAATTGAGGAGCTAATAACTTGGTAAGTTTCAGTATCCACATTTTCACATAGTTGCCTCACGCTCTGTGGCACCAACGCTGCCATGGAGTACAGCATTCCAAACATATGATTAGCAATTTTTTTTACCATTCAGTACAGAAACACTACATACCTTGTACCTTTTCAATTTTTGGTTTTCTTCGTCAATCAGCATCTGATATTTTGCAACTTCCGATTGAATAGAACTTAGTATATTGCTACTCTGGTCTGTATCCATAGGCTCTTCCTTTTGGGAAAAACATCAACGTGTGTTAGCGTTTTAAACACCACACTCTTCAAGATGCATGTACATAAAACAGACTCCAAATCTAAACTTGGAAGGTGTTCAAAAGGGCACTGAGATCTCTAATTCTGGGCATCTCAACTTTAAAAACATGTACAGTAAGAACTGCAGCATGCTGTATTCCAAGGTATGATTCCCACTGCTGCCTGCTAATACTTGCTTTACATGTTTGTTAAAGTGCCATTATCTACTAATGCAATGCTTTGTATATTTTTCCTGGTACAAAGAATCAAAGCCATGTATGGCTAATTCATTATGCTGTGTTGCTAAAGCAGGTTGCCTAGAAGTACCTACTTTGAAAAAGGATATTGTTGGAAATGCAATAGAATACCAAGTGTGAAGTTGCACTAAATTTGTCAGTCTTCTCAGTAAGCTTTTTTTGGGGAAAAGGGGGGATTTAAACATTTTAGCAGTGCTGCAATGATCTTACTGAGTACCTGACAAATATCTGAGTCGGTGTTTTTAGACATTCTTGTAGCTTACTAGCATCTCAGTAACTATATTTTAGCATAAGAGAAATGGTTAAGACTAGAGTTCTGCAATGTTGCCCAAAAGCCTCTTGCCCAAATCAATTAGCTCCAGATCAATTACGCCATTATTTCATATTCATAGAATTATAGAGTACTGAAGTTGGAAGGGACCTATAAAGCCATCACATCCAATCCCCTGCTCAATGCAGGAATACAAATCAAAAGGTATCTGCCAAGTGGTTGTCATGCAGGAATACAAATCAAAAGGTATCTGCAAATGGTTGTCTTAAGTTTCTCTTGAATTCCTCCAGTGTTGGAGCACTCACCACCTCTCGAGGTAAATGGTTCCACTGTCATACTGCTCTAACAGTTAGTTTGTTTTTCCTGATATTCAACTAAAATCTGGCTTCCTGTAACTTGAGCCCATTGTTGTGTGTCTTGCACTCTGGGATGATCAGGAAAAGATCCTGTCCCTCCTCTGTATGACATCTTTACAAGTACAGTGGTGCCCCGCTTGACGACAATAACCCATTCCAGCAAAATCGCTGTACAGCGAAATCGTCATCAAGTGAAACCCCCCCAAATGAAATGCATTGAAAACCGGTCAATGCGTTCCAATGGGGGAAATACCTGATCGTGCAGTGAAGATTCTCCATAGGTCAGCTATTTTGCTATGCCTGTAAAGTGAAGAATCGGTCCTGAAAACAGTGGGGAGCCATTTTGCAACCCACCGACTGTTTCTAATCGTCGTCTAGCGATGAAACGGTTCCCGAAGCAGGGAACTATTCATTGTCAAGCAAAATAAAACGGTTCCCAAAGCAGGGAATTATTCATTGTCAAGTGAAATATAAACATCGTTTTGCAATCGCTATAGCGATCGCAAAAAAACCCATCATGAAGTCGCTATAGCGATCGCAAAAAACCCATCATAAAGTGATTCCGTCGTCAAGCGGGGTAACCGTTTAGCGAGGCACCACTGTATTTGAAAAGTAGTGTCATATCACCCGTCTATCTTCTTTTCTCAAGGCTGAACATGCCCAATTCTTTCAGTCTTTCCTCATAGGGCTTGATTTCCAGCCCAATCATCCTCATTGCTCTCCTCTGAACATGTTCCAATTTGTCAGCACCCCATTTTGAAGTATGATGTCCAGAAATGGATGCAACACCCAAGGTAAGGCCTAACCAGTGCTGAATAGAGGGGAACTAGCACCTCACAGGATTTCTGTTAACTTCTGTTAATGCTGCCTAAAATAGCATTTGTCTTCTTTATAGCCACACCACATTGTTGGCTCATATTCAGCTTATGATTTACAACAAATACAAGATTCTTCTTCCTTGTAGTATTGTTGAGCCAGGTACCCCCCATCTTGTAACTGTGCATTTGGTTTCTTTTTCTGAGATGCAGTACTTCACACTTATCCCTGCTGAATTTCATTTTGTTGTTTTCAGTCCAGTGCTCCAGCCTATCAAGATCATTTAGAATTTTGTTTCTGTCTTCCAGGGTATTAGCTATTCCACCCAATGTTGTATCATCCACAAATTTGACAAGCATTCCCTGCACTTCCTCATCCAAGTCATTAATAAAAATGATGAAGGGCACAGGGTCCAGGACTGATCCTTGGGGTACCCCACTTGTTACCTCCTCCCAGCCGGAGAAGGAGGCATCTATTGTCACAACTTCTTGTTTGTGGGTTCATTGCTACTGCTTATCACTACAGGCCTGAAGACCCGATGCCAACTTCAAAAAGCCAAGGAAAATAAAGCTTGGATTTTCAAGAGTTCAGAAGAAGTAGCTATACACAGAATGTTCAAAGAGAAGGGTAAATAAAGGAAAGGAGCTATTCACATTGCCCAAGCGGAAATTATCTGTTAGTACAGTATTACACTTCTCTCCTATACAGGCTCCTAGCTGCTTTATAATGAAGAGGCTGGTTATGTTCACACCTGATTATCTTCAGAAATGCTTTACCACCAGATGTTACAGCACTCATTACAGTGGCCTTACAAACTATTTTATACTTTTAAAAAAATATTGATTCATAGAATACCTCAGCAAGCTGTCTCTGCAGTTGTGCAATTTTCTGTTCATATATCATTTTTCTGTCAGATACTATTGCCATCAAGTTAAATCTTATTTCACCTTCACTGTATCTACAAAAAAAGAACAGATTTGTCACATAGTGCCATCACTGTGGGATGAGCCTCACACATACTAGTTGTCTTCTGATGCTATCACACATCATTACAAAAACATCCAAAATGCCAATTAAATGCCATCCTATGTCCTTTTATCAAAAGCAAATGTAATGATCAAGCAGGGAAAACACAGGAAAAACAACACCGTTATCGCCTGTGTCAATTTCACCCCCTACATTATAATAGGATAGGTTAATCCTCCAGACTCAATTTTTGTTCTCAGAACCACACTTACAATTCTGTGACATGGTGATCTACACTGCTATAAAGAAAAACTATGAGTTCCAGCCACTCTAAAACTCCCTCAATGCTTTTTTTAAAATCACAGTGAATGAGGTTTGATGTGTCAACATATACAACATGCATATCTTATTTAAATATACTGTGGTATGATTCCAAGCACTCAGTCTATGTTAAGGCTGGGGTACCATTTGCCTGCTAGAAAATGTGACTAAAATGCCCACAATCCATTTGCCTAAATGCATGAGAGTTAGAGCTTTTTAAAGTTGAAGGCCAAGTTCAACTCATTTCAAATACCATTCTAATAATTAAGTCTAAAATATACTTGTTCTATTTTCATGATCTAAACAGTTCAAATCCACAAAGATATGGATCCTTACTTTTGTATTCTTTTTTCTATGACAGGCCTCACAGCACTGATCCAGTCATCTTGATTGCACACTCCTAAATGGAAAGTAAAGTAGTACAAGATAATATTCATAATTCTTTAAGTATATTATAAATGTACTATACAATCTTCTAAATATACCCTTTTTATTGTTGGCTTAAATACCTTTCTTTGGTTCTAGAAAAACCATTTTAATGATTAGGTAGCCAGAGTCCTATTGACACTTTAAGCACTCATGAATGAAAACATGTTAAGCTGTAGCGATGAACTGCCAGTAGTGTTCCCCTTAGCTTGCTGGGTCGCAACCAAGAATGAAACCAGCATCTCATTAGATTTCACTACTGTGACTTACACAGTTTCACTTACACATACAAAAAGTGCCAACAGGATTTGGACTAGTGTTTCTAAGCAGAGTATGCATATAGTAATCTGTTTAGCATGTAGTTGCATGCTACTTTAAAGCTATTAAAATATTCAAAAGTGCAGATGTTTTAGCTTCTCATGGTATTTCTGTAGGTAAAAAGTACATGAACTGACAGATTAAAAAGAAGTACTAACACCGTGTTACATGAGAAAGTTTCTACATCTGAATTTTTAAAAAATTAAATTATCTAAACATGCTGCGTATAATTTTTTTAATCATTCTGTATGTTTAAAACAAAGGGATTTGTTCTTAGAAAAGCACCACAATGTATTAATACACTATATTGCATACTTTATAAACACTGAAGAAATTACACACAAACCCAACCATAAACCCTGCAGGAGATCCAGAAAGTTTGCAACAAAGGTAAGAAGAAAACTTTACCTAAATCTATTGGGCCTTCCCTCAGACCATCCAATTCATATAACCTTCCATTTACAGGGACATAGCTAACAAAGTGAAACGCATCTTCTTCTTTTGCTGTTGACTTTGCATCAAACTCAAACATCTGTTGTCTAAAGGCAAATGAAAGAGAAAAATGAAATTTAAAAGAAAGCATCTCTAGAAACTGTATACTTGAAACACATTTAGTTTCTAATTACCTGGCAAAACTGTTGTGGACTTGCCGAATTACTTCTGAGTTACTTAATGCCAGGCCTTTCATCTAAAATCAAATGAGAAATTCATTCAACTACTTATGTGCAAGTTTGAAAAAGAGAGAATGAAGGGGACAAAAGAACTGCACATACCGCTGCATCAAAGCTTTGTGAGAATTCTTTAAATTCTGATAGTGTTTCTCCTAAATGAACATCTTGATGGGTACAATTTAACAGCACACTGACTATGGCTTGGGTTGCACAAGCATTATTTATAACCTGCAAAGTGGAGTAAAAGAAATAGTTTAGGACAGTCAAATTATTAAGTTTCATTAACTTCATGTTCACCCAACAATGCTTCAAATATTAAAGTGTAAAACAGGAGAACCCCTCCATAGTTCTTTGCTCCTCTGCAGAAAAACTACTGTAACTGTTTGTATGTATACATAAACACATTTGGTATGCAATGGCTGAAATCCTGCTGCTTAGAGTAGCAAACTGTACTATAGCAGGCCCACTGACTCAGTGGGGATTTAGTGAGTTAACCCCTCTATAAGTTCAATTAATTCAGATGGGCCCTCTGCGGTTGTACCTAGAATTGGGCATGAACTGGCAGTTTGTGCTGGACTGGTTTTCAGACAAACAGGTGTTTGGCACTTCCCAGCTCCACTTCCTTGGGCAGATGCCCATTCAGGGGTAGTGCCTAGAGGAGGCAGCCAGGGAAGCCAGGGTGCTGCCTCTGAGTAGGTATCCACTGGAGAAGACGTACTGGGAAGCACTGAACACCTGCTTGGCCAAAAATACAATCTGAAACAAACCACCAGTTTGTGCCCATCTCCAGTTGTGACTCATTTTAACATAAGTTACTCACAACCAGAACGGGCCTATTTGAATCAAAGGAACTTACTTAGGAATTGACTCACTAAATCTCTTAATGGGTCTACTCTAGTGAGAATTACTGAACCAAGTAACAGGATTTTTGCCAACTACTCTGTAGTTTTGTTGATTCTGTCAATTTGATACTCTGACCCTGAAATATGCTACAAGAACACATGGAATATTACAGAACAGTTTACAAAATTTATACTGACATAACTCCAATACAATTTTATTGCATCAGGTATCCATAAGAAATTTAATTCCTGCTACACTCTAGGCAAATATAATGTATTGATATTTAAAGAGTTAAGTGACTCATTTATCCTTCCTATTCTATTTACTCTAGTTAAACTGACCAAGAAAAGAAAAATCAACAACAGTAAGGTTCTAGCCACAGCTTTCAAGGAGTAATTTGGAGCACCTAATTGAGTTCTTTAGATAATGTTTTTGGACATTGACAGTAGTTAAACAATACAAGAGAAGGTGGGACCACATTTTTGTATTTTACACTATGCATAGGTATGCCACACAGAGTTCAGATGAATGTACAGTATTCTCAAATGAAAAACAGAATGCAGCCTAAATATATAATAGTCCAAAGTAGCAGCAGAAAATGTATTCATTTAAAATGGGAAAAGAAAGCAAAAGGTATAGTTTGAAAGATCATAAAGGGAACAAGTAAGAGAGAAGGTATGTAGGCCTTCTAAGAAACATTCTATGAAGGAAAAAGGTCTTAGAATACTGGTAAGAATAAAGTGACATAGACATGTTCCAAACAAAGCATTTGATTTCTTAAGTTACCAAACAAGTAGGAGAACACTGAATCCCAGGAAGACAGATGTGAGAAGATCTACAGCTAGTAAGTGGAAGTAAAGATAAATGCTGGCATTACACAAAATATTTCTTTGTTATTTGCTACTGACCAATAAAGACTTGGAAACAGAATCATTTTCTGCTACAAAAAACACTGCTGATTCTGATCAACATTGCTGAACGAACTCCTCTAATTGCTCAGTATAACAAAATCAGTTACAACTTTGGGTTAATAGCTTTGCTAGTCAAATTACTATTTATAGGTTTACCCTCTGGAAAATATAAATTTTTAAAACTCCTCTTTTATTTACATTTTATTAACATATTCACCTACACCTTGTTCCTTTCCTCATACTAAACAGCAGCAAATTAAAAAGAACATTAAAATATAATGGAATTTCACACAGAATTCTATGCAGGTCAATCAGTTGATCAGAAAATGACTTAATGCAGCATAAGAAGCATCATTTGAAGTTTCCAACAAGAGGCCCACAAACCAAACTAGTTAGTACGATTTGGAGAACACCTCCTTTATGAGGAAAATACAGACACTGAATAAGGAGGACACAAAGGAGCCACAGGCAAACTTCCTCTGTGTTTTAAAGCTGAGATCAATAGCTCAGGTCAATATCATACTCTGGTCATTATACTACCCCCCTCTCTGCTAAGTGATGTATGTGGTCCAACAACCCACTTGAATTGATAGCAACGTACGCTCTAATTTTTAGCCCCACTGGGTGAGGCTCCACCTCTCTCTCTCTCTCTCACACACACACACACACATAGCTCTGCCCCTGTGTGCGCGCATTACTCCACCCCCTCACGTGCTGGGTTTCACTGCAACCCTGATTGCTGTGTAGAGGAGGAAAGCAGCTGAACAGAGGGAAACAGAGTCACACCCACCCATGTGCATGCCCCGCTTAGCGGGAACCTTGATTGATAGGGCATCTTGTGAAGACTATTTCATAATAGTTAATTGTTGTAATCCTCTCTAGCCAAAAGGCTGAGCAGAAAACAGGCCAGTAAATCCATCCCAACTTAGGAATGTTGTATATTATCTATCATATCCTGATTCTAGACTACCTTTGTACCTTTAAGCCACTGCATAGTGACTATGAGTCAGAGCTAAGAGGATCTGGATCTGGTTTAAGTCAGATCTTTCTGTGTTACTTTCCTTCCTTGTCAATTCTGCTAGCTGATCTCAGACTGCACAGCAGTTATGCCAGCAGATCCAGTAAGAACTATTGCTAGTAATGCTACTTGTGCCAGCAGATCTCAGATCAGTCAGCACAAGAATATTCTGCTCATACAAAAGGCTTCTCATTCCACTACATCTAGTGTATCTTTGACTTTGGATTGCAGTGTTAATTTTTAATTAGTAATCTACAGTTGATCAAGAATGAAAAAAAATGAGGAAAATGAAATTAGCAAAACATACACAAAGGTATGAACCCATATAACATTCAAATGTTTTTATGGGTCTAAAAATGATTATATAGATGCTAATGCTCTTATAAATACATAGTGGTCCATCAAAATGTAGGAAGTCACCTGCAGTTCTATACAAATTTAGTCTGAGCAAGTCTCACTAAATATGACTTAGCTGAGAAAAAAATCATAAGAATTCAGTAAGAAATTTTGCTAGTAATTATGTATGGCATATGGGGGAGGAGGGAATCAACCACCCAGAGAGTGCTCCAAGGGCTGTGGGGCAGTAGATAAGTCAAAACAACAACAAATCTTGTTTGACAAGTCACCAAAACTAGAGAATTTAGGGCTACAGTTGCACCCAAGGTTTCCTTTAACAAGGGCAAGCACGACTCCACCTCCCTCTGTGCAGCTTTCTTCCTCCTCTGTGCAGCAATCATGTCTAACTCCTTTGGTTCTGGTTGTGATGAAACCCTGTGCATGGGTGGGTGGGGCCACAGTAGCTCGTGCATGCAGGGGTGAAGTTGTGCACAACACAGGTGGAGTCCCATCCAGCGGTGCTGAAAATTAGAGGGTATGTGGGTTGCACTTCTAACGCACCAAGGCATACTAGCTCAAGCATGGTGACTCAGGGTTCTGGATTCTCAAATATAACACCATATTATATTGAACCAGAATTAAGAATATGTACTAATTTTTAAAAAGGCATACAAAGGTGACTCTATTAATAAACATGCACATAACTTTATAGTGTGATTGCCAAAGAAATGCTCAAGATCTTCAGGCACTAATAACAGGCAAGCTACTAGTGATCAAAAGTTGCACGAACTGCTTAGCTATCATTTTAACATTTAAACATAAACACATCAATGGCTGAAATCTAGTAGTAAATTGCAATCAAAACAGGTCTGTTGAATTAACGGAACTTACATACATGTTGACTCACCAAAATACCATTGATTCAATAGGTCAACTCTAGTTGCAACTCACTACAGTGGTGCCCTGCAAGATGATGTTAATCCGTTCCATTGAAATTGCTGTTTAGCGAAAACATCATCTTGCGAAAAGCATTTCCCCATTGGAATGCATTGAAATCTGTTTAATGCATTTCAATGGGAAAAATAGTCATTGTCTTGCGAAGATCGCCCATAGGGAAGCCATTTTGCGGAGCCACCTATCAGCTGTAGAAATCGCTGTCTTGTGAAGCATCAGTCCCGAAAACATCAGTTTTGTGAAGATCGCCCATAGGGAAGCCATTTTGCGGAGCCGCCGATCAGCTGCAGAAATCCTCGTCTTGCGAAGCATCGGTCCCGGGGGGAAAAAAACCCGTCTTGCGAAGCACGGACCGAAACATCATCCAGCGAAAATCGCCCATAGGAAACACTGTTTTGTGCAGTGCAATGGTGATCACAAAACCTCATCACCATGCGGATTCGTCGTTTTGCAGGGTAATCGTCCTGTGATCACAAAACCTCATCACCATGCGGATTCTTCGTTTTGCAGGGTAATCGTCCTGCGAGGTACCACTGTAACTGTACTGGATTTCAGCCAATGAATTGTTTCAAACTCTTGTATGAAATTTAAATTGACCTATATTTTAAATAAAGGAAAGTTCAATATGGATGATAATCACAATGTTATAACACAATTTCAGACTGGTTGTGAACACTGTTCTAATACCCCATATTCAAGAGTGAACATAAGAACATGCCTTATACTATTAGGCCACTAATCAATCTACTTAACTCAGTATTATTTACACTGACTTCACATTAGATTTTCAGAGTTTCATAAGGGTCCCTCCCAAGCCTATATGAGATGCCATAGAATGAACCAATTATTTCCTGCATGAAAAGTATGTGCTCTTTCACTAAACTGCAAACATAGCTTTTTGATAACACATTCAAATGCCTACATAGGCAGAACCTTCAAGGAGGTAACACATGAGCATTTTAAACTTGACACAAATGACATCTACATGGCTGTCAAACTGTAAGAGACACAGCCAACATGTCAAACAAGGAAGACTAGTTTATAAAATTCAGTACTGTAATTAACTTTCAAACATGGTTGTGTTGATGACTATCAGTGCTATATTTGAAAATAGTCAGCAGGTTTAATTATTACAATTTAACAGCACAAACAATATTCTGCACATT